ATTATCTTTGTCTCGGTTCTTTTTTATATTTGTTAATGACCTGCCAACATCGCAGTCTTCTTTTGCGAAATCTTCAGTAGCTCGGTTAAGTTTCTACAATGACAAATTGTGTGTACAACAAGGAATGAATATGAAATAAGTGTAAATATGTATGAATTAAAGGAAGAAATTGATAAAGGTAAAAAAATTCACAGGATAACGAAGAGAACTAACAAAGAAACAAACATCAAATACTGCATAAACAAACCAACCAACGCAAGGAGAAGAAGAAGTGTAGAAGTAGAAGAAGAAGAAGAAGAAGAAGAAGAAGAAGAAGAAGAAGAAGAAGAAGAACAAGAACAAGAACAAGAACAAGAACAAGAACAAGAACAAGAACAAGAACAAGAACAAGAACAAGAACAAGAACAAGAAGAAAAAGAAGAACACGAAGAAGAAGCATGATCATCATATCAGAAACAACAACAGCATAAAGGAAACCTTAAACTCCAAGGCGTATCCTGTCTCGTTTCTCTTGGGGTCAGTTTTTGATAGTTTTCGCATTGTGTTCTGTAGGTTATAAACTGGGAATTCTGTATCACCACAGGTGAAGACTTCATGTATAGACAGATGTATAAAAACATACTGTTCCTGAAAGATAAGCAGACAAATACGATTTTGATAAATATATAAGGAAATGTAGAAATAAGTAAGAACATTTGATGGCTTTTCACCTTTCGGAAGATGTAATCCAATAGGATCATTCGACCCAGAAAATTATATTGGCTTGCTACAGAAGTTATATGGTGCATGCTTATTCAAACCGCCTTTTTAGCATTTACGCCGGTGCTTTAGTAAGAGCAGAGCAAGTGAGTGAGAGCTAGAATAGCAAGTGTAAAGGCTTTCCACTTCTCATACCAGATATGGTATAGATCTCAAGTAAACAGCATCGTCCTTTTTAAGTTTTGTTTAAGAAATGATAACCATAGTTTTCGTACTTTAGCTCTGACACTGGAGAAATGCTGCTTTTCGATCTTTTACATGAGTTGGTCTTAATTTTCATGCACATTCAGCACAAATATTCCATTCAATACTAATAGTATTATTTTAAATTCAAACAGGCTTTTTACCTCGGTCTGCACCATATACGGTCTGTCGTTTCTGATCGATGCAACGTAGTCTGATATTGCGACGTTTTTGAGATGTTTGGCACGTTGCAACATGGCGTCGATCACGATGTACGCACCGGTCCGACCAACCCCAGCACTAGCAAATAAATACTATAAATATCAAGTTCTCAAAATAGGAAATAATATAAATAATTTGTAAACCTCAAAAGGAAAGAAACGGACGAAAAGCCTCTGAAATCTCAGAAAGCTACCCTAAGGTGTATAATCAGGTGCGGATCCAAGAAGTGTGAGCACTCCCATTTTTCGAGAGTATATATTTCTTTAATAAAATATCAATAATATAAATAATTCATGTCATAATAATATTGATCAAACATGTTGTACTTGTATTGTTATTGCTTGACAAAGGAGAACATCAACATAATTTTTCTATATAGCACTTGGAGGAAAATAAATAAATCCATAGTGCGCGCTAAACGAAGTCGATTTTGTTCTCGTCTTCTCTCGCGTTTCGTGTTTACCCAAGTGCTTTGGATTTTTTTTCTGTTCTTTATGCACACAGAAGTTTGCTTTGATGTTGCGCGAGGACTGACCTGCAGTGAACAACTAAAGGACCAGCGTGATCTGGATTCACAGCATTTACTTGTCGACGTAAGCCCAAAACGGTTGTAGAATACTGTGGCACTCCATGATCTGGCCACACAGTGAACTGGAAATGGTTAACCTGGCGATTCTCGTTGTTGTTTGACTAGTCATGCGAAAATGTATTACATTAGAAATAATGGTATATTTTATTCAACTTCCTTTCTGAGGTCCTGTTCCATCGCCGAAACTCACATATAGTCAGCTCGAAACAAATGAATTTATGATATCAATAGGGAGAGAGTAGCACGGATGAACTCGGCCACATATGCAAGATTAGGTCGAGGCGGGCTAAATTTACTTTCTGAGATTGAGGTCAAGAAATCGATGACACTGATTTCATACTATTATAAAATGCGCGATGATCATAAACACTTTAGATTTTACAATGAGGCAGTGGGGTACCTTTGTTAATAAGAGAGTTCGTATGATATAATCAGGAAAAACCTCCGACTTTTGAATTGTGACTGTGATGTCGCGGTGAGTTTCTTTATCTTCTGGCCAGTACTGATGGCATTTTGTCTACAAAACATTAATATCAAAGATACTTACATATTATAACAAAATAGTCTTCAAAAACCATAGGGAATATGGCAGACACACGGTTATTGTTTGGATTTTAAAGTGCTATGAGCCAGACACAATAATTCCAAACCTTAGAGCCTTCTTTAAGATTGGTCAGCATGACTATAGTGCATGAATTCACTTCCCATATCATTTGCCAAAAATCAGCAACAGTCTGCGGTGTAGGGCCTGTGGAATGTTTATTTACGAATAATCGCTTAATTATATGATCAAATAATCAATTTTGCATTGAGAACATTTTTTAGATAAATAATTGATTGCTTCATTCAATTGTTGAACAATCTTTTATTTGGCCAAAATTGTTTCCTGTATGATTAATTCATCTTAAGTGCATTAGATCATCTTTAGTCTCCTCCCCAGGGAACTCTTTTTTCCTCCTTTGGCCTTTATTTGTAACGATCGTATTGGCCGCTAGGGACAAGTGACGAGAAAGAAAACACGCATCCTCTTTCTCGCCACCACTCTCTCTCTTTTGACTCCCAAAAAAAGACAGGAAGCCCGTGATTCTTATGAATGGCTAATCTATAGATTGGTTTATGGTTAATGCAGAAATACCTTGAGTAGCAATGTATGTCTTGGTACTTCCATCATAGCCCTGTAATAAAAGGACGGTATCATTTCAAACAACTTAGCATGCTACTCTAAGAGAAATGCTGCTGTTATTGCAAAGACAGTAATGTCAGTTTAGGAACACTGTCACTGTCCCTGTCCCTTTCTTTCTTCCTACCACTGCCCTAGCCCCTGCCCCTCACCTTGATAAAGGATGCGTTAATGTAATCTGAATGTTCGTCATCCGCCTGCCGACTTATCACCACACGAGAATTGTCATCTAATCAGAAAAAATCATTAAATTGCTAATGCCAAGCAATGATTTTACATTAGAAGATGCTTATGCATATCGATGGCTTATTTGAGCAAATGCTCTAAAGAAAGGGGAGGTTTGAATATAAAGGAATACCATACTCACAGGTAACAATGTTGCCATAACGGTTCTTCGTCTTGTTGGCGGGTTTCTTGGCGATGTCCACGGGGAAGGTATGAGTATTTGATAACATCTTTAAAGTTGGACAAACAATAAAAAACACTGTAAGGACCAGGATGAATAAAGGTTGAATGACGTTATCCTTAAGCTATCTGCTATGAGTAGCAATATATGTACCCTAAACTCCTCTTTAAGCTCTGAGTAGTCTGTGGCCTTCAAAGACTTCATACACTCCAGAAATTGACGTTTTGTCATTGGTTTTATAGCCTCTGAAAAACAACAAAAAATTCGTAAAGGTATTCTAAAAAATGTATACGCAAGATATACAATCAAATGTATTGTTGTTCAACCAGCGCCGTAGCTACGATCAGGCAAGCGAGGCACTTGCCTCGGTAAAATTTTATCGAGTTTTTAATTTGTATCCAAAATAAAAAAGTTCGATCAAAGGTGTAAGATAAAAACTCACAATATGCTTCGAAAAACGCTGGAAATCACTCTTCCGAGTGTCTAACATTTTCCTCCGGCTACTGCGCTGCAAACGTACTTTTATTTCCAATTAATCAACAACCTTTTTTTAGAAATTGTTGTTCATCACACTCACCATATTGGTAAACAATGAATCCAGTTTATAACTATGAAATTTAATTTAGCTTGATCGAGATTATCAACTCGTGTCGATCTATGTTTGTTGGAGCATTTTACATACTAAAAGTCAGTTCTAAAACTTTTTATAGTGCGTTACTTTTCAAATTCAAATTCCTGGCCTTATTGGCAAAATATGCTATTGAAGATCTGCAGTCTACCTGGATGACCTCTAACATCAACGTTTACATTAAGTTTGTTGTCGTTTAGCGGATGTTTCTTCACGGTTGCCATCAGCCTCTTTACTAAAAACATCAAGAGAGATAGGCGGGCAGTCGTTCTTTGTATTGCGTTTCCTGTTACGATATAAGATAATGTTGGTATTAATCTTTGCCTAATTTGGGAAGCGAGATTGCAATTTTCAGTTTCAAATCTTTTATATCAGTTTGTATGTATTATAGTGACTGGTGAAAATTTGGAYAAAAAGAGAAATATTGAAACGTGTTAAAGTTTTAAATTCAAGAATTTGTGTCCACAACTAATATTTTTTTCTGATATAACCAATCCTTTTTTACCTTTTGTATTTGAAGCCCAAAAGAGCTAGTATAACCACAATTACAAGTAGGGATACTACGACTCCTATGGCCACATCACTATTAGAGGTACTCTTTGATTCTTGCGGCTTCTTCATAAATTCTAAAAAAATCAAACATAAAAACAACAAAAGCAACACTTTGGGAGCAAACAACATCAAAATAAACGGCGGCATCAGCAGCAAGAACAAAAAATATCCCACCACTGCCCAAACAACAACATCAGCCACAGAAAGCAGATCAAAACAAACGATATATCAATTGTCATCTTAACAATCATTTCTTTTATCTGCATGTTTTGAGTAAGGTTTCCATACTACAAACTACGTTATATTTTTCTAGTTATAGAGAAAGTTACCTGCACTAAGTTCGATTGTTGCGATATGGACTGGGTCGCTCACGTAGACGCTCTGAATGACGACCAAGGAAAGTGTAAAGTAAATCAACATGAAAAAGTTACATAAATGAAATAATCATAAAATATTGAGGACTAAATAAAAGAGGAAAGGATATAGTTGCCATATTATATTGTACCCCATGTACGATTCCCGTGTTCAGAAACAACCTTCTTTCAATCAAAATGCCACACACCATTCCCCAAATAGTCATCTTGATCCGTTTACAGAAAAAAAACCTGGGCAAGATGCTACAGAATGATAGCCTAATGAAATCAAAATGTAATCTGCTTACTCCGTTATATCTTGTGATGGCTCTCTCAGCTATGGTGTAAACTTGACCTTTATCCAATGCGACGTTTTTGTATATTCCGTACATTCTATTGTCACCAATGACAAACATTGTTGTGGTTTTTATCTGGACTGGTGTAAGCTCGGCTGTGACGTACATTGATTCGTCATTATCACTGGCCTTTTTATAGTCTCTAAGTTTTTCTGGTATTTCGTTCATGGATTTATTTCTGCCGCTGATTGCAATCACCTGGTACGAGCTGGAAAACCAAAATCAACAGCATGGAAGATATAATTTGCGATTCTCCAAATAATCTTGAAGGATGTTACCTCCTTTGCAGACAATAACAGTCGAATGTTTTAAAAAATCCATGAAAAGTCTGCAAATGAGGCTTTATAAAAGCGAAAAAACTGAAAACGTTATTATTATGACCTAAAAAGGGATAAAAGGCTGGATCCATGCAGAATGCCTACTTATTAATGATTAAGAAATTGTGTACCTAATTGGTCCATTGTGAGGCTTGAATGTCCATAATGTGACATTAAAACTATCTTTAAGTTTTATAGGAGTTCTAAGTTGTGGTGTACGAGGTTCTGCCGATTGAAAATGAAGCAACGTAATTAATTAATACCGAAGTATGTAGTTAGGATAATATAAAATACAAATATGACCTTGTACATACTGTCCACTTTTGTTTCCAATGTTACTGTTAAACTCCTGTCGCTTTCACCACAAACTGTTGACGCTATTACCCAGAATTCATAGTATGTCCCTGGCTGCAAGTCACCAATCTTAAKTGTTGTTTGGCTACCATCTTGGGTTTTAGTTTTAAGTGGGGAACTGTARACAGGCCAGTATGACTTTGAACCYTTGAAATAAATCTTGAAAAGACACGAACATTTTTTAGGGAATGCAAACAACTGTGATAATCATCAAAACATCAGCAAAAAAGCAACATCATAATACAACAATAAGAACATAAGTTTTTTTGTTTTATACTACACTTTTACTGCTCCACCAGTGATTATGACCTAACTTTATCCTGAATGGGTTCTTATGTGAAGGGTCATTGTAAATTTGTGCTGTCATATCATTGTAGCAAGTACTAGCAAAAACAGCTTCACAAATATTTCGAAAATAAGAATGGTGAAAAAAATAACTCGTTATACAATTGATAACCAGCGTATTTTAAATCAAAAATACATTAAAAAAAATCAAAGCCAGTTAAAGATGTTAACTCTTATTTTACAGATAAGCGTGTACATCGTTCATATTTTTTCAATAAAGGATAATGTAACCTTGCTAAATTGATTTTTTTCATAAGTGTCCAACGAYTTAATTTCGTTATGTTTTGCAAATATTGGTCTGACTCATACCTTGTAGCTTTTAACACGTGTTATCATGGCTTTTGGCTTCCTCCATGACAAGGTAATAAATGATTTACCTATTCCACGTGACTCCAAATTGTGAGGTGCACCTGGTTCTAAAAGAAATATAGCACATAACCCGTGTAAAGATAAAACTCAATTTTTGAAACACATTATGCAAGTTGATATTGTGTAATACTGAAAATCTATCCCAATAAAATGTCGATATTTTAATACATGCATCAGAGTACTTTCATAGAAAAATGTGTCCGCCATTTTAAAAGTTGAGAACCGAATCAATTTGATGAGCCATAGAACAAATTTAGTAGATGCTAAGTCAACTCATCTATCTTTATATCGTCTCATATTAACTTGACATTAGCTGAGAACTTTTTAATTCCTATAGGAGTTATAATTTAGTGGATTCAAGTTCCACTTTTCAAGATGGCGGAAGCTTTGTTATCCAAAAGTACTGATGCATGTATAGTACTTACTTGATGTTGTAATATTGTGAGTAGCATTTGGACCCAATCCTGCAACCGTTGCAGCTGCTACACGAACTTCATACTGCGCACAACGTCTTAGATTGTGTAAAACAAATTGGTTTCCCTGTGCTGTTCCAGTGAAGGATTCTCGAACTGCCGTTCTTTTAGCTCTTCCTATGTGTTTTAAAATCCAAGAAATTTTGTACTTTGTTATGATGCCATTGGCCTCGTTCCTACGCAACGGTTTCCAGTTAATTATGAAGGTACTTTCGTTTTTCTTTGTCGCTTTTATACCTTGTGGCGCTACATGCGGAGCTAAAATGAGAAGATATTACCATAAACTGATAATTGACCATTTATTATCACTTTTAATTACCGAATGTTGTAAACACTACGATATAATGATTAAAAAGATCCTGTCAAAATTGGCGAATCGTCCTAACTCATGTTCTTACGTACCATAGGCAGGGATCCAAAGGCTATTGATAGCGGTATAAGGTCCTTCTTTGATCGTACTCGCACTAATCTTAAACCAAAACCTTGCTTGACCAAGTACACCCAGTGTATATACCAACGACGATATATCAGTTATATTTACATGATTGGATGTATCGTTATCATAGCGATACACAAGTGTGTATCTTGTGATGATGCCATTATCATATGATGGTTTATCCCACGTAAGTTGTACACGTGGTATACGAAACGTGTCATTGGATCGGATAAGCTTCGCTTTGTCGTTAAGGGGTACAGAGGGAGCTAAAATCGCATACATTAGTACTTTTAGCTTCATTAAACGTGGTATTTCTATTTACTGAACAATCATGTCAAATGTTCCTACTGTCCCCTCCCCATCAGAAAAGATTTTGAAGTTTGGGACAACTTACCATCTTGAAGTGTCCTTCTATTTATCGCGTTACTTGGTTTACTGTCTTTGATAGTATATGCAACAACGTTGATTATGTACGTTGTGTACTTATGAAGATCTGTTATCACCATTGAATGGACATCAGGACCAATATTGGCGATTGTTGTATTACGGAAGCCATATCTCCTGTATAAGACTTTGTAGCCTTTCAGAATTCCATTTCTGCAAGTGGTATTTGGAAGTGGGTCCCATCTCACTTGGATACTTGTCGAAGTCATGGCCTTGACTGATCTCAGCTTTGGAGCACAATCGGGTCCTAGAATCGACAAAAACGTTTTTCTTTTATTTTCACAAAAACGTTTTATTTTATGGTTTTCTAATAGAAAAGTCAAACCTGAACAATAGTAATCACTGAAAAAAGTAGGGTTTTTTGGATTCGCCAATTCCACACGTTGCGCATTCTAACAGGACAATATATATTCTATTCGTTGAAATGTATAGTTGTGTACAGGAATAAGTGCATCGCCAGGGTGTAGCGAGGACCTAGGAGCTGGGGAAGGATGTGGGTGGTACTGACCGAAAATAAAACATTACTCCTACCTCTACAAATAATGTATAATAGACAGAATTTCACGGTAGCATCCAAAGCTAATGCACCTTTTTCAGTCATTACTTCCTCGTGAATACTAGRKAATTAMGCTCAAATTCTTCAATAAAAAGATGGATGGATCAAAATATTTTTCCACTGTCTACAGACTCTTCCAAAATTAAATTTCTCTTTAACATCAAGATAATCAAAAATAGTGAGCCACAGATATTTCAGATTCCAACGTGGAGATTCAAGGGCACACAGGTAGCCCGTCCTAATAGTTTCGTATGAGATTAGCTGTAATAATTTATCTTCCTCTTTTATGTTGGGTTAATATGCATTGTTTATTTTTTATCTGCGAAGTTTTCAGAATTCCATTCCCGCAATTGCTAATTTGGCAGCCCTCCCCCTTCGGTAAGCTACTGTCTATCGTATAATACGGTATTATTGCATTGATTTAGCTAAATGAAAATAGGGTTATGTGACCTATAAGAGGCAATGTCCTACCAACATACCATCTTGAAGTGTCCTGCTGCTTATTGCATTACTTGGCTTACTGTTATTTACAGTATATGCGACTACTGAGAACACGTATGTTGTATACTTCTGAAGACCCTTTATCACCATTGAATTGACATCAGCACCAGTAACGTCCATTTGTGAGCTACGGGCACCAGGGCTCTTGTATAAAACTTTGTGGCCTCTCAGAATTCCGTTCCTGCAAGTGGTATTTGGCGGTGGGTCCCATGTCAATCGGATACTTGTCGAAGACAGGGCCTTGACTGATTTAAGGTTTGGAGGGCAATCGGGGGCTAGAAGTACCAAATATGAAATCAAATAAAAGAAATATAGTATATTTTGATAGAAGACCTTTGAAGCTGCGAATGCCGTCGCTTTTACTTTGATATTATTCAGTATCATGTGTTTACTAGGTCTTCTAAAAATGCCTGAAATACTAGAAAACCACCTTTTTGCTCGAAAATAGGACCTAAACTTTG